TGTATATTCGCTAATTTCGTGCAATTTAGTTTCAAGTAGAACAAAAACCGGTCGTGGGCTGTCGACGGATTTTCAGCAACCTTTCAAGCTTTCTTCGAACTCACACCTGTTCGTGCATCAACTGGACGGAAATCCTCTTAATTTGATGTTTTTGTCCCTTTCATATAGTACTCTGTACGTGTCGCACCGTATTTTTTATTATGAATCTCAAGACTCGGGAGTTAATTGCTTTTGATTTCTCGCGTCACTCAGTTGGGCCCTGAAGAATATGTCAGGTTCTCCACAGTGATTGTGGGCTTTGGCCGAGTATATGGTTTTATATTTACTATTTTCAGGTATCCTTCGAAAGGTTACGTGCTCTATTTGACATTTCAGCCCCAAATGTCAGGCGGTAGGTAATTTTCATTCCGAAGCGCATAGAAAACTTTGTGTCAGACCTCAATTTAGTGGAGAATTCAGTAATGAAGTAAGTCATTATCCATTTATCAGTGGGGGTGTCATAGCCTTACTGAAAGTTTCGGGAAAATGTTACAGAGAAAAACACCAATGTTTGTTTGCTTCCTCGAAAATTAATCTTCCCCTACAACTCTTGTTGAAGTAGGGATCTCCGGGTTGATAGGACGGTAACTCAGCATGTTTAACTTGAGAAACTTGAAGCCACAAGAGGGCGCGAATTTCACAGCCCGCCTACTTCGGGAGAAACTCAAAATATATACGCGATTCCCCTCTTGCGCTCCAAATACAATCTGCAAAACAAAATCTCGGGGAAAAATAGTGCCTGGCATCGAGTTAGCTGGGAAAAAGTCCGTTTGAACAGCAATTTGAATTAGCGAATATACACTCATTTAAAAACTAATTTGGTTTTCTTCGATAGAATCACCTGGAACCTAGCTGAATCTCTCGTTTGTNTGAATCTCTCGTTTATGATGTTCTCAGGCAACTGAATGTGCTGCACCAGGCCGCCTCATGTTACAGTCGCTACGATATTTGAAATATCGCGATACACGTATATCTTTGTAATGTACTACTCATAAGGTTGCTGAAAATCCGTTGACAGCTCACGACCGGTTTCACCTTTTTAGGCTTATCAGGTAGGTGCAGTCCTTGGATTTCCGTCAACCTTATGTTCTACTTGAAACAGTCATCGCGATATCTCGAATACCGTACCAATTGAAAAATGAGGCGGTCTAGTGCAGCACATTCAGTGGCTTGAACACATCGTAAACAAGAGATTCACTTGAGTTTCAGAAGAATCTCCCTTCAAAACCAAATTAGTTCGAAAATGAGCGTATTTGTCTAATTTCGTACAATTTGATTCCAAGCAGAACATAAGGTTGACGGAAACTCGGGAACTGCGCCTATCCGATGAGCGAACCCGGTCGTGGGCTGTCGGAGAATTTTCGGAAACCTTATGAGTACTGTATTCGGCTTACTGTTCCTCAGTCTTTCACATCGACAGTCAAAGAGTCATCCAGGAATGAGTATTTCTGTACCGTGTAACCTATCATTGACGGTAACCAGCCATCTACTCCATTTATATCGAACTGTATAGGCGAACACTTGGCACTCGATGAAGTTGGTTCTCGACTCCCTGGAAAAAATTGGTTTCTCTCCATCCTAATGCAAAAGTCTACAATTCTGACATTGAACACCAGTATGGAAAACGCTAATTCACGTCCCATAGGACACCAGAATCAAAATTTTGTTACAAGTTAGATGCACACACACTTCGTGACGCAAGCTTCGCGTTTAAACACATTCTTTTTAGTTTGTGCTTAGAAAATGGCACGTGGATTCTAGGGCTTCATGTCTCCTTGTTCTGTCACAAATGAGCGGGCATGGCTATCCCACCTACTCGATCAGAAGTTACTGTGGCAACTGCTTCCTTGTTACACCGGGAGCTACAGGTACACGAGGCTGTTGGGCTCGGTTCAGCTCTACAAGTTGCTTAGCAACGGAAAATCGATTCCACTGTGGTCGTATGAATTGGCGATTCCACTGAGAAGGGGTAGATGACAGATGCCTGTCAACGGAAGAGGCCGAGGATCTACCAAGCAGATTGAAAGAAATATCCCCGAGAATGCGTAATTGCAGGCTGATTTGAGTAAAGCTGTCAGTAGGTTGGCCGTTATCATGACTTGTTTTGGAGTGTATCGTTACTTTTCAATACTATTCAGGTCGTTTGCATCTCCCACCACTTTGCTTTGAACGATGAAACGAAAGGTGTCAAAACAGTTAAGTGGCAGAAGGATGTCTATGGCTTAGACCGAAACTCATATAATACCGCATTATTGTCTTCATTAGAACAGTTTTGATCGTTTTGACGTTTCGACAAATCTCAGTTAGCTCTAGGGTGTTAAGCAAGCCCCATACCTAAACATTTCGGGGGATGACAGGGGACTAACAGCCGATTCTCTAACCTCGTCATCATTACCGAAGGCGACAGATCCGAGACATTTGATCCAACTGCGTCCTGCGTTGGGTGCGATCCAGTACTAGTTTTGTCCCCAACTTTTAAAAAATCTCTAGACCTCTGTGTTCACGCCTTCTGCGTCGAAATTTCACTTGAACCCCAACCGTATACCTGTCTTTTCAACTTAATACGTCATTATACGTTTTTTCACGTATAAGTATGTCTACAGTTATTACCGACGCACCCGTCTGGAAAATCGCCACCGTACGAAGGACAAGAGACTTCCAGAGACGTTTCTGAGAATCAAAAGCGTTATCACGAGCTCACTGAGAATGTCAGAAAGTCCAGATTTACTCAAATAATTCCAGAATGTCCCAAACCCACTGAAACACTCACATCATCAAAATTGTGGTAGGAAAGCCGACAAACATCCAGGTCACTCAGTCAGGCAGTCAATCATTTCAGCAAGAGCCGATGAGTTTTCAGGCATCCCACAGAGGCACTGCGGGCGATGATGAGTGTTTGGGCACTTCAGGAAAATGCGGCCAATGGTGATGGGTGTTCACCAAACATCGATCAGAAAGCCTAAAGAGCGTCAAATGCCGCGAGGCCCCTTGTGACTTTTGCAATCACCTGTTCGCAATCAAGCAGTTGTGTTCCTAGTTGGCAAGTCCTTTTTCCGACATAAGGTGGAGACAGCAGTCAGCTACAACAGAAAACCATGCTTTAAAGGGTGGACCTACTTCACAAATATCTGTTCAGGTTTAAGTCCAACGTAGTGATTTACTGTTTAGAATTCTATCTGCGTTCATCATTTGGACGTAAAACTCCAGCGGAATGAGAGTAACACACTGGAACTCATCTTCCAATGCATGTAGCTGCAATATCCAACACAGTCCAGCAGTTTGATTTCGTATACCGGTTCTCCACCCCCGCCCCTCGCTTCAGACTGTTTATTGATCCAATCCCTGTCGGTTAACCATGTCGAGATAATTTACTCAACTGAACAGTAGCTTCATTTGATTGTGTCGTCCGGTCTTCGATACCGAACTATCAGTAAGGAACGGCCTTTTGCAGCGTATTATCCCAAGCGCTCAGAAGTAAAATCGCAGTCTAATGTCTTTACCCTCTCAACAATCGAGTTATCACTCAACTTCCATTAAAAACCACGGTTCCGTCTGAACTGCCTTCCGAACATATGGAAATGAATACGATGCAATCGTTGGCGCCAATCAACTTTTGAATGTAGTTAGGCTCGCTTAGTTAAGGGTGGAAGTTTAGCGTTCAATCTCCTCGTTGTCTAATTTCACACACTGAACGACAAGCGACCGTTATAAATCAAAGTATCATGGAACATGGAGACAAGAATGGTTTAGCTTCTACTTCATACGAGCTTATCACCAAATGACCGTATTCGCGTACTTGGAAGTCGGAACTGCAGAATAATAGCGGAAATGAGTTAGGCGGAGACAAGGTGATCTGTAGACGCCTGGCAGTGAATTTATAACTAACGAACACAGGAGTTTGAATTTGTAGCACTTGCAAACTGTTATTTTTCATGCTCAGTATCATCTTCCTTCTCCCTATCAATACTGAACACATTACTGTACAAAAGTTTGTTTTACTGAAATACAATCGCAATCGCTCGCTTCTTCAGTCAAACGTGACTTTGGGACTTTTGCTGAGTGACTGTTGGTGTGACCTCCACTTGGCTGTGATTGGCGGATACTAACTCTAAACGTGAACAAGAAGTTTAGCTACAAACACTGGACTCATCCATTACACCTGTGGATTAATATTGCAATCACCGGAGATTTAAAGTGCCAGGAAGTTAGGACTCTCTCGTTTCGGAAATTCTCACTGCAACTGTTAGTCAAGATTAACTCGGATTTTTCTCCTTGTGACATTGTATCTGACTTACATTAATAATCTCTTCTGTTCACTCGAGTCTCCATAGGGCCGTTAACCACCACAAGCAAGCAGTATATCATTCTGATTCAGTATCCTACCACAGTAATCTGAGACTTTCTATCAGGCCGCATTAAAGTCTTCACGTTAGTTACGATCACAAATATGCCGTCTATAAAGTCACGTGTGGACTCAAAAACAACGATTTATGCAGTCCTGCGGTGGTCACCTCAGATTTTCTTAGGCATAACAATCACCGCATCAAAGTTCCGCCGAATGAGCACCACCATGCCCATCCCTGAGGCTCAGTTCGCCATGTCCGTCAGAGGGTAAGTGAGCAACATCTCTCCACGTCAATATACATCCCTGAGGCTCAGTTCGCCATGTCCGTCAATACACGGACACCACATCAGAACATAAAGTTCAGTGGAGAACCACATTGTCAACCAAATCTTGCCTCTTTCCCAATCCCATATGGCCCGTTGGGAGTAGGTACATTTACTTTGTTGCGAATTCTGCAAAAACTGTCTTTAAACCAGAGCCTTTATTCGATTCAACGTTATGGATGATATCACCAGTTAAATGTGAACAATATCCTTTTTCCGTGGACACTGGAAAATGTGAATTTTCTCCGGAGGAATACATGACGTTGAGGTTTTCTCAACACTTTGATGGCAACTCAGAGAATATTGGACATCTTTGGATCAGATGGACGTTTATTTTGAGACACGTCCTTTCCCATGCTCTTGACAGTAGTGCCGACGTTCAGCAGACTTATGCTCATCTCCTCTGTTTCCTGGCGTTCCTTTGAACTTGAAACCAGTTCTTCGCGTTGCACCTTAAGGCAGAATAATGCATGCTTCTTTGTCCTACCTAAGTAGGGCGCTCCGTCGTTCACTTGCTCTTGGATGCCTCCGGCACTATCGACCTCCATCACTGGCAGTTTGGTTTTTCAAGTTAGTGTGGCTTTTCAACGGTCGGTTGGGTTTCTGCGCAGATTTGCTTCTTAATAAGACTTCACTTGCCAAGTGTTTTCGGTCGCGGTTGACTCACAGGTTTTAGGCATGGCTCAAACCACCGACTTTCTAACGATAACTGATGTTATGTATACTTGATATATGGGTTGATGCACCGGGTGCCATTAGGAAACGCGCTCAGGTTGATGGCTACTTCGGATTCCTTGACTGTCGTTTGTCTTGCAGGCAGCCTGCTGCTTTTCCAGTACACTCATTCGTAGCGCAAAACAGTGTTGGTACTCCAGTTGCTGGATGAACGCACAAACACCACATATTTTCCCTTCGTGTATTCATTCAACGGTATCTCAAGCACCGTGAAGGACGAGGACACCATCCCCACTTCTTCAACAGAAATGCGAGGCCACTTTTGAGGGGGCTCCTAACTGTAAAGTCTTTGCAAATGGAATAAAGCTTTTCACGCCAAAATGTTGCATTTTGTTGCGTATCTGCTGAAACCGAAAGCCATCCTAATCCATTTTCATATTTTCGCATCTCGCCAGATTTAATTGTAAACTGGTGCACTCACGCCTCTGGCGGAATGCTTTCCTAACATCACTGGGACACCAGAATGGCTCAAAAGTTTGAACTGCTATTCAGAACTCAATTTCCTGTCTGCCGTAGTCCATCAGAGACACGCCATAATTTTTGAGAATCCGATTCTATTGTGCGAATACCAAGCGTCCTTTTGAAGCCGTAGCATAGCAGGTTCAAAATCGAATGCACGCCAAAATGTTAGCATAGAGATTAGCTAAAACAAATCGCGGAAAATAGATTAGGAGTATTTTTGGTTTGAACATACAAAAGTTTTATTCAACTCGCATAGGTTTTGTAGTTACCAGCATTGTGCGCCTAAGAGTGGGCGCAACTTCTCGGTGAAGTCCAAATTTTTAACACGGATGACTCAACAACTGCTTGAATGCCTACTTATTGCTTCCTTTATATAGAAACACCACAGCAATATGTCACATTCAAAAAGAGGGCTCGCGAGGTCCATGTGCAGCTATTTATGACTGTGTGATCGCAGTGACGGTTGACTACCACCATCGTGAGGACCAGTTCATCATGCATGCTCTGCTGCGTTCACGTGGCCATGATGGTTGGACACATCCCATTCCGCTGGTGACTATAAACTGAAAAAAATTATGAGCGTCCTCATGAGTTATTATTATATATCTACAAAACTACTGTATCCACCTAAATCCCTGGACTGAACACGTAAAACATGCCTGTATCCCGCGACCCAGCAAAAGAATTCGAGTGCACTTGTTGCGTTCGTCGTTTCACTATACAACTTCGCCGTCCATTTTCAATATCGCAACAATTTTCTGCATGTCATCCGCTTTATTCTCCCTGGAAAACCGAATCGAACAATAAGGATTATAACCAAGCATGCGATGGTATTTTCGCGTATTTCGGACTTTTAATGTCCAGTCAAAACAATCAGGAGCAAAGTGCCTTCACTCTCGTGGCGATAAAAAATTATCCGTTTTGCTTCTTTTGGTGTTAAGTTCAATATTTAGTCTGCTAATTACAAACGAACTGGCGGTACAAAATCCCGACCAGTCAATCAGAAGTACAAAAGACATTTAAACTCCACGCAGCCCGATATCTCTAGCTCAACACGGATTTCCACCGAACCGTTTTTGCGTGACAAACATGCTCGCGTTTATGGACAGATTAACACGAGCTAAGGACGAAGGACTCATATCTGTTGCCATATTTTTCGACTTCTCAAAAGCATTTGATAGAGTCCCACACGTTCCACTGCTCCGAAAACTCGAGTCTCACGGTATTCAAGAGGAAATCCTCCACCGCGTCAGGGCGTTTCTTTCAGCCAGATCATTTCGGTTGAGAATTGGCTCGATCTACTCTTCTCCAGCGCCGATTTCCATTGAATTTCCTCAAGGCGCCGTCCTGGGACCGCTGCTGTTCCTGATCTACGTCAACGACCTCCCAGAGGTTCCTGGAAGTCCATATGTGCCTTTGCGGACGACTAAAAATTCTGGAATCCCAATGCCAGTGCCCTCCAGATGGGTGTAGAGGCTGTAAAGCAGTGGTCGTTGGACCTCGCCCTCCTATGAATGACGAAAATTGCGTCCATGTGACATTTGGAGAAGACTCAGCGGATGATTTTGTTATGCATGTTTGGAAAGGACCCAACAAAATTTCATGAGGATAGGCGACAAAAAGAATTCGGGTATCTGGGTCTCCTCAAACCTGTCCTCTCAGTGCATTATGAGAAATGGGCCCAAAATGCATTCGCCATTTTACGGACGATCCGACGCACCTTCTCCCGTATTACTCGCATGGAATTCCAAATACTCTATGGGTCAAACGTCAGACCGCTCCTGGAATACGCCAACTAATTTGTCCACTCAGGCCGCAAGAAAAACTTTGCCCTTACTCGACCTGTCCAGCGAACCGCTACAAGAATGGTTGCCGGCCTCAAATCCGTGGACCACGAAACGCGTCCCGCGATGCTTAATCTCTTTCCTCTGGTGATTGGTCGCCTCCGAGGGGACCTGTTTCTAACTAATGCCCTGTTAGAACAAGGCTTGACAAACAGTTTTTTACCGTTGACCCAGCAAACAGACGACAAGGACATAGTACGAAGATTTCAAGCTCAGAGCGCACACATTCATTAGGCAATTTTCTTCTCATTTAGTAGCTGCGCTGCGTGGAACGACCTTCCTCCGACGTTGTCCACGCTCCTTCTGGAACCCAGTTCAAAACACTGCTAGACATTTATTTATATGAATCCTTGCGCCTGCGGGCACACTGCCCGGGCTGAGAGCAAAAAGAGCAGTGCTACACCCTTTTTCACTTGTAACGTTCAGGTAAACGACAGCCGCTGAACGACAAGAACAAAACCGACCCGGGAAACTTGGGAAAGAGCCTCAATCCTTGAATCCGTGGATCCGTGAAGTGATGTGCCGTTCGTTATTCGTTAAATAGAATCAGTTCCTCGAAAACAACGAATTTTTCAGGGTATATACTTTGCGGTCCCGATTGTCTACGTGTCTACTTGACCGATTTGTTCAAGCAAGCTAACCCACACCAATCACCACAAATTAACGGCGCCTATAAGCTTCACAGTGCTCGTAGCTGCGAAAACTCTACAAGCGAAATGAAACCTCTTGCGCAGAAATATTGTATTTTGTTGCATATGTGCGTTAATCAAAATCTATCCCAATCTACATTCATATCTTTGCAGCTCACCGAATTTCATTGTCCACTGAAGCAGCCATACCTGTGGCGGAAAAAGGCTAGTGAGTTACCTTGCAGGCATCAATGACACCCCATGACGCCAGGATGGGGTTCAAAAGATTGAACTTGTACTCCGACCTTAACTGTCTGTGAATTTTATCCAGCAGGGCACGTCGTCGCTTTCAAAAATTTGATTCCATAGTGCGGATACTGAGCGCCAGAATAAAGAAAACGGTACACAAAGAAATGGCGCCGCTCACTAAAAGCATACCCACATCATTTTTGCCAAAACTATTTGGTTTTCGGAGTCTTGATCTCACGTGGATTGGGCTTAAACAATTCGCACCTTTCGGTGCTATCTATCTAGTGGTGTTTTGTTTAAGTGAGCGAAATTTCAAGGTCGCGAACGATCATCGATTTGCATTTTCTTATCAATTTACGAGAGATGGAAAACGGAATCGAAATTTAACATAGTTTAGCGTTCCCCAGTGTGCTTTAGCAATGAAATAACATCTACAGAATATCCAACGCAAATTCCACAAGGGGAGATCGGGCATTGACGTTTGTTTGCTTCATATTCTTCGGACCTAACAAATGGGACTATTTTGTGCTGTGTAGTGGTCTGGCTACCCTATAAGTTAGTTTACCAGGAGTGTGTGGCAAAGAAATAAAAATAATAAAGCTAGGTTGGGTATACAATAATAGACAGGTCAGATGGAACAGATCCACTAACAATCGTTCTCTTTAAAATAGTTCGACGTTGGCCCAGGTCAGCGAATAAACAATAATCCAATTATGGTGGTCTTCTTCTGAACAGTTCGCACATATAATGGATTCCGAAGGTGGTCTGAAATGTTTTGATACCAGAGTTCGCACACGAGACGCGCGAATAAACGCTGCGAGCGCGAGCGAAGTTAGAAGAGAGATTCGAAGTACGTGACCACGGTTGTATTCTGTGAAATTGTACAAGTGCAGGTTTTTGTAGTTTTTCGTATTCAAACAAAAAACGATTATGCAATTGATGAAATACGTAATGTTATAATGGAAGCAAACTAAAGGTACAAAACGCCTCATTACCTCCTCCCCCACCAGAGCGTTACGGTAAAAGTGGACAACGCTCGAAAAATTAAAATGGTGCTCACCTCAAACTTCGTGATCAGCCGAGTGCTGAGGGAAACGGACGCGTCTTCCGGAACGACTAGTGGAAGGTGAGAGGTGTGTGGCAGGGGTGTCTTGGGTAGTTGTGGGTGTTGTTGGGCTAGCAGGCGTGTTGGATGTGGTCGTGGGTGCTTCGATGTAGGCAGGTTTCAGACGATCAATGGAAACGGTATCGTGCTTTTCGCGTCTCACTCTAAAACAAAGTATTTAGCGTGACTTTCGATAACCTTGAAGGGGCCGTCACCACAGGGTTGTAGGGGTCTCCTCATGCTGGACAAATGCAAATGGTGTAGAAGAGAGATCGGTTGAAATGTGTTCTGTTCGCGTTGATCGTCTGGTCGGTGTCGCACGAAGTTCAGATATGTGCTGTTTGAGACGGGTGACGAATGTGACGGGTGGTTCGGGCCGTGCGCCAGAAGGAAAAAACAGTTCACTGGATAAACGTAAAGTTGTACCGTATACTAGTTTTGCTGGTGAACAGTGAAATTACTCCTTACTAGTGGAGCGAATAGTAACCAAATGATGACCATGAAGGTGCGATCATTTGAGCAGT